AAAGGTGTAATGCTTAGCGGGAATTGAGATCAATACCAGGACGGGTAGCGAATACCCGTGGCGTCCATGGCTTTAATAAACTGCTGCTCAGAGTGTCTGTTGAGGACATGCTGTTTAAGTTTGGACAAGACTTTGGCCGCGTAGTGGCAGTCAGTCATCACACACTTGAACGGCTTGTCTTCGCCCGGGAAATGTGTGGGAAAGTGTTGGATAACTGTTTTGCGGCCCAACGCCTTAAACGCACAGTTAGGATAAGTGCACAAAAACTCTGTCACCTCCTCCTCCTTGTCCTCCTCTGTGGCCACCAATTGGTTCTCTTCATCGACACTCAACTTCGGTCTAATCGCTGCCTTATCTGTAAGTAAATCAAAACAATGTCAATATTTAACATTTGATTTCATATAAAACTTAAAGTCTATCATAAATATTAAATTAAAATAAACAATTAGTGATAATTATCTCACATTTGATGGTCACTCCTAACGCCTGGGTTTTGGCCAATTTTGATACCGATTTGAACGGTTTGTTTGAGTTGTGTTTAACCTTCTTATGCCTATAGAGGCCAGAGATTGTCTGATAGCTGGCCGAACAGCCCTTCAAATTACACTTAAACGCCTTATCGCTAGCGATTTGAGTGCTCTTCGGGCCCGAAATGGCCGCAGTTTTAGCAACAGTTGGCTCCGAGACGGCTGTGACAGTGAGGGCGGCGGCAGTGCTACCAGTCTTTGGTATGAAATATTTGACAGTCTTCTCATTCTTCGATGTCATGTAAAACAATTTTTTGGACAAACGCTTGTGAATCTCGATCTGATGTCTCTTTAGATTGTACTTCGAGTTGTAACTTCTTGGACACAAATTGTAATCGCAGTTCCACTCCTTCTCCTCCGAAGACAAGTGGCGTCGAGTCATTGGGATTGGCTTTTGGATCACTTTTCGTACGCTTGACATTACTTTTACTGATTTGTTCGCTGATTTTACGACCAATTTTGGTCGCGATTTGTTGCCCACATTCGCCGACACGATAGCCGTAGCGACTGAATTGAGCGCCCAATTCACCGCTTGGGGTTCGAGAGCCGCCGCTTTACGGCTGACGAGACCATTGTTCAGCCGATACTTGTCCGCAACGTCCGAGCCGTGAGTACGTGTGATATGTCTGAGCAGTAATTTGATCCCGAAGTAGGTTTTGCCGCAATCGGGACACAGAATATTGCCATTATTCTTGGCGACCGTAGCGGTCGGACCATTGGTTTGCTTCAGGATTTGCTGCCCCAGTTGTCGATACTTCTGCCACTTCTTCAAGCCGTGTTGATTCTTCATGTGTCTCGTCAACAGCGCGTAGTTTTGGTATCGGTTCCCACACTCGGGACAGACCACATCTCCGGTCCCTCGCGCCCGATATACGGGTGACTTCAACGGCGATTTCATTGGCGACTTTGCTTTCACTTTAGTCTTAGCGTTGGGCTCTCTCGACGAGCTCTTGGCCGCGGCTCTAATGGACACCGTGTTGTGAGACGACATATGATTGTTGAGATGGCGTTTGTCGCGGAAGCGGAGGTCACAGAGCGGGCACTTGAATGGATTCTCACCCGAATGTGACCACATGTGCCGTACGGCGCGGTTCCTGACGGCCGAAGAATACGTACAGTTCTTCCATTTGCAGAAATAGGTTTTGTCTGTTATAGAGAGAGAGACACAAAACAAGATGATCATAAAATTTGCTCAATACATGTGTCAATCGGTTTTATAAATACCTTTATAAACCAATTTCTTGTGGCTTTTGACGTATTTCTCGTTGAATATTCTCCTTTCGATCCGATTTTGCGGCAATTCTATCACTTCCAGACCAGCGCTGGTGTTGTTGTTCACAACACTCGTAGCGGTTAAGGTATCCTTTGGTTTTGGTTTAGTCCACAGATTCTTCCTCTTCTTGATCCTCTTTCGGCTCTTATTCGTCACTAAATGAGGCAATCGTTAGAAAAATCAATACAAATTCAAATCAAATCTAACGTACATTTCTTTGTCCGTTTGGTTGGCGACAGATCCACGATATCGTTGCTGAAGATACTGTTGACGGGTTGGTCGCCATCGGAATCGGTGTTCAAATCTATGGCAATCTTATTGCCGCCCGATTTCGGCGCCGAAACCGATGGTTCGCCGCTATTGGAGGCCAAGAGGTGACTGAAAGACTTGTTTTGCGACAAATACTGTGTGAATAACATAAACGGCTTTTCCGGCGGATTGGCAGCGGATCGGGTGACTCGTCCGGGAGTCTCGCGCTCAGAGGCGGTGTCGGTGTCCTCTTCGCCATCGGACAGGGGCTCCGGTTTGGGGATCACTTCCAGCTCTACGACCGGTACGACAGGCGGCGGTGGGGCCAACATTTGGGCCAATACGGAGGCAGAGGGTCCCGGTGTCAGGTCAGTCATCGCCGGCGCAGCTGTGGTCGCTGTGGAGGCGACGGGCGATGGGCTCAACATTTGTCTCAACGTTTTCTGTGGGCTGTTGTCGAGTGTTATCACTGGAGGAGTGGTGGCCGACGACGAAGACGCGGCCCCAGAGCTCAACATCGAGCGCAACATATTGTCCGATAGGCCGGCGCTGGTCTTCGCGGGCACCGCTTCGGCGGCACCGCTGGTGTCCAACACTGACTGGTCATCGGCGGTGATTGTCGTCGGCAGCAGTGAATCTGTATCTATAAGAGTAACAGTGATTAGTGATAGAGCACTGATGGTCACTATCTGGTGACTGATCCCATCAGACATACCACCGTTCATACCATTGGCTGCCCTCCAGTTACACAACTCTTGGCGCCACGTCTTGAGCTGAAGCAGATTCTGGACAGCGATGGCCTTGTCGTCGGTCAGCTGTTTGCGTACGGCTGCGGCCGAAGAGGCGGTGCCGTTGGATCCGTTGGCCGACACCACCACGTGATCGATGACATACCTGTCGTACCTCATGAGCAGATCAAACACGTGTTGACTGAACCGGTGTTCAAACGCCAGCAATTGTCTCATGAGTTTGGCTTCGGTGGCCATTAGATCCACGTTTCGCTCAAATGACTCGCATTTGTGTTTGAATTTTGTCAACTCATGTGATATTAAATCCATTATTCAATTAGTTTTAATTACAATTACAACTAAATTAACGATTAATTAATTGAATCCACTTTTGGTTAACTCATTGTTTCGTCACTTTTTATTACAAATTTATCAAATGTTATGTTTTTTATAGTGTTTTTCAATTCAATAGTCTTTTTATAAGTGTTTTGTTTTGAATTGTTTTCACTGTTTATTCAATTATTCAATGCTTTTTCAATGTCTATACATAAGTAACGTGTCGTTTAGGTCGAGTTTTTGATTCCCTGTTACTGTTATTAAATAACTACAACTGTATTATTATAATTAATTAATTATATACTTTTTAATGAGTTTTTATTTATGAACATGGTGATTCAAACTTTAATAATGATTCAATGTCAACGATCATGGTTCATTAGTCATTTTAATATTGTAACATTCATATTTATTAAACATTGGGGGGAAGGGGTGTATGGGTTTTGAACGTTTTATTACACAAGTTTAATGTTCAAACTTTTAACATATTTACCCATGTCCAAATTTAGAATTAAACCAAGTTTTAATAACTTTATAAACTTTAAAAAACTTTGTGATATTTATTTATATTATTTTTATATTATGTAAAAATGAATGTTAATTAAAACCTAACTAAATAGATATATTATAGAAATGAACTAGATTAAAAAAAGTTTTAGTTTAATTAAAAGCCTAACTAAATAGATATATAGCATAGAAATTAACTAAATTAAAAAGTTTTCATATCTAATGTAAATACATGTATAAATTGTTTGCATTAAAAATAACCGTAAAATAATTCACTGTTACATAAAAAACAGACAATTAAAACAATAGGACTGCGAGGAGTCGGGCGGAGAAGATGGCGATCAGTGGCCAGAATATGATGACCAGACCGGAGCACAGGTCGTACCAGTAGTTGAGTTTAGCGGCCAATTGTTGGTCAGTCACGTCACCCGTGCGTTGCATACGTTTGCTAATCACCTCTTCGGAGGGCATGTGGCGATCGTAGGCCAACCCCAGCGCTGAGCACATGTCGATGAAAGCGGTGGCCGGATTGAAGTTGTCTCGCCAGCCGTACTCGGAGGCCGAGTAGTCGTATGGGAAGGTGTGGTGATAGTTGTGATACCCTTCGCCTATAGTATACAACAAGAAAAAGCAAAAAATGCCACAAATTTTATAGTTAAAAAGTTTTAGGTAATACCCATCGAAGCGTAGACTACGGCCCGGTTTTCGCGCGGATTAATGGTGCGATCGTAGGGTCGGGTGCCGTATATATGGGCGGCCGAGTTGACGAGCCACGTGTGGTGCAGAGTGACCACGTAGCAAAATATGTTTATACACAACGAGTGCCAAAACGTCTCACCCATACAGTAGACACCGATATAACCCGTGAACAAAAACACACGTATGAACAGCACTAA